ACAAAAAAGAAACAAAAAGTGTCGTCACCTTTTTGAAGGCCATAGATAGGCCTAAATAAAATGTTTTTAATTATGTCCCAGTTTAACGTTGAATATTATTTATGATTTTAACTTTATACACAAGTGCCAAAATACTATAATCATAATAGTAGGATTAACAACCACTCTCAATTTCAGAGTGAAATCCCTTTATATTATGATGTCTTTAGACCACTGTTCTAAAAATTTGATTGTTTTCTTGCATCAAACGTTTTAATATAAAGCATCTTCTATGCGTTACCAAGATTATCTTCAAACATGTATCGCTCTTTTATTTCATGATTCATGAAAACTGTAATATTAGCAACAACGCTATTACATTTGCGCCCGTCACCCACATATCCGAATATTTTTTCTAGATTTTTTGTAGGATTTGTTGCACCTACGATGGGTGGCTCCTTGGAACTGTGACAGCGTTCTTCGGGCTTTGTTCGTGATTTGAGATTTTGCAGAGAAAACACATAAGATCGAAAAACAACAACAAGCACTACGACTCGGGCACTTTCAGAAGGCAGACCTCTGTTCTTCATGGATGTATTGGAATTGAGTAGATAATGTCAAGTGTGAAGGTCAATGAAGCGATTTTCATTGACATCGTGAGGCCCGCCATGAGGAACACAAGCCTCTTTAGGTTGAATTTAAATGAGAAGCGCGAGAAAACTTAGTTGAATCTAACATGCAAGAAATGTTCCAGAGATACAATGGTTTCCTGTGTATCCAAATATTAGAAAATGTGTGTGTGTGTGGGGGGGGGGGGGGTAGAATACTCAATATAATGCAATTTGTGGACCCTTTCAGTTTTGAATAGATTGAAAACATATCAGGAATTTTAGGGTCAAAGAAAAGGAAGCTCAGAGGTTTCTTAAGAATAAAATGACTACAACTGTACACAATGAAAATTTTTTTTAAAAATAATAAATTAGTTGCAATAATGGATAGAAAAAAGAAATGAAAACTAATAGCATGTAAAAAATAATAAATCGATATTTCTCATGTACAAATAAAAAAGAAAATATTTTTACGTAACTTGGAAACAGCCCATTACATAGTTTTGAGCAAACACAAACGTTGTATGCGAATATAAACAAAACAAACTAATATTCATTGTTGTTTTACTGATAAGAAATCAATTAAAGGTGGAAGACCGCTCATTACAGAATCATGGATAACCTTATGGAAATAACTAGTGTTAAAAGTTGCAGTCAGATAGGCTTTCTTCGTCTTTTTCTTTACATTCAGTCTGGTAGTACTTTCATGGATACCAAGTGGTTCCCAACTTCTTAACAGTGCAGAAAATCACTGCAAAGTTACAAATTTCGAATTTTTATATTTATTAAATGTACCTAACTTGGAAAAATAATGCTCAATCGTTCCAACCTTTATTTATTTATTTAAATATAATATCCTATGTCTTTTAGTTCTTGCAAAGTCGACTGGAGTACAGAACGTATTATTTGGTTGTTTAATATTTAACGAATTATTTTATAAGACTGCATTTTCCCATACAATTATTAATCTTTAACCCCTTAAAGTAATCTTAGCTGCCACTCACTCTTTTGAGAGATCTTCTGTACAATGAGTTATACTGCAAACCGACAGACCACAATATTTCCAGTACTAAAAGATATACCATCTACAGCCAATCCCTTCATATTAAGCTTACTTGTACAAATGAAAACAGTTACACAAAGTACAAAGAAACACTAAAACAAACCACCATACGTAAATGTTATAAAGAGTCTTGAAATTGAGAGACAAACAGAAAAAAAAGCTAACAACGCTCAAAATTTCTTTTTTTGTTGTTGTTTAGACTTCCTTATAAATGATATTTGCCCAAAGTAACCGATAAACGTTTTTATACGCTTATACATCAGATGGCGCATTTAGCTGCATCGTGGTTGCATCAATTGACCAATGTCCAATTATGTCAATCTTTTTCTCCAAATCCAGCAGAAAATAAGTTTGCATACGGTGCGGTACCTGAAAATCTGATATATATTGTTTAGCCTAAAGTCCCAGAATACTCTAACCTTAAAGTTATTACATTTCTAATTCTAACATTCACTACGAGACAGATGTCTTATGTCTTATCTTAGGAAAACAGACAAGAATGATACATAAAAGATTCCTTACTGTGTAAATTATATAACCCTCGTTTATAAAGTTTAACTATATTCTATTGAGAATGTTCCTTGTATGCAAAAGTATAGTAACTAAAGAAAGTTGTTTAAAAACAATTTGCATTTTTTGTACAGCATTTTATTAATTCAACTAGAATTACAAAGTATTTGGAAACGAACAAGTAAAATTAATAACATCAATTATTTTCAGCAATTAAACAAACAATTGTTCCGCACGTTGATAGAATCAGGGGAAAGGGTTCCAAACTATCCTTTCATGTTTGTGTAAATACTGTTTGCACGTTTGCTCATAATTTGAGTTATAGTTCAATCTCATTAGATAACACATAGCTAATAATTGTATTATAAGGATTGTGAAGGTGAAAATATAGAAATGGTTGAAGTGGTGGAGAGTAGAGGAGATCTGGGTGCAAGTGATCATTGCTCATTTAGGTTGATTTATTACTGCATACAGAGATCAGAAATAGCAATATTTTGGTTGCAAATTTTAAAGGGATGAGAGAAGAATTATTTTTTCAATTGGCCAATAAAATTAATTGGAGATACTCATCAAATGTGGAAAAGTTTTAATATTCAAGATAGACACGTTTCTTATAGAAAAAAGGGTGGCTGCAAGTAAAAATCCAGTTTGATTCACAAAGGTAATAAGGGATAAAAGTTAAGAAAAACATTATAAAATAAGAAATTTAAATTGGCTGGTATGACGGGAAACTTTCAAGATTAAAGAAGGTCAAGAAATTTGTTCAAACGTAAATCGAAAAGGGTATAAGAAGAAGAAAATAAAGATTGCTAAAAATTACCAGTAAGATTTTTTTTTCTTTAAGTACATTAAAGGTAAGCAAAATGTTAGGATGAGAGTAAGGTTTTTGAGAGGTAATATAGGAAGGCTCACTTCTTATAACCATGAGATAGCTGGGTTATTATATTCTAACTTTTCTACAATTTTTACTAATAAAGGTTTAATTGATATTTCTCATCCTGAACAGCTGCTAGATGGAAACAAAATGGAACAAAATGTTCACCATAATTCTGAACTTGTTAAGACAAAATTAGAAAGTATTAAAAATAATTTTATTCTTTGACAATATAATATTTCCCCAAGGGTTTTGAAGGGGGTTAAGGAAGGATGGATATGTGAACCATTTACTATAATTTTTTGTAAGTCTTTGAATAATGGACAGGTACTAGAAGATTGGAAGTTGACTAATGTTGCTCATCTTTTCGAGGGATTTGAGAAATTTTATTCCGATAATTATGGGTTTATTAGTTTTACATCAGTAGTGGGAAAAGTTTTTGAAAGTCTGATAAAAGACGCTTTATAACGTCACTTAATGAAATTTAAAATTTTGTTGGATGGTCAACGTGGTTTCACGAGGAGTAAATTTTCCTTTATTAATCTTTTTAAATTCTTTTAAGAGGTCACTGCTTATGTAGTTTAGGGTAAGGGTGTGGATTTGGTATATATGGAAAGCACTTGACAAGGTGCCACATGAAAGGCTTGTTAAACACGCTATCTCTATAAGTATGTGGAATAATTTGGCTTATTGGATAGAAAAATGACTGGATGGAAAAAAGCAGACGGTTGTTACAAATGGAGTTCAGTCAAACTGGATTAATGTCACATTTGTGGTACATCAGGGCTCAGTGTTAAGACTTTTGTTCCTTTTGATTTACATCAATGCCAGGAATGAATGAATGATCGATATCTTTTTTTTTTAATTTGTTGATGATATTAAGCTATTGGGTGTTACTGGATGTGAAGAGAATGCTGCTACTTTACAAAAAGATTTATATTATTTGGTGAGTTGGGCGAATAAATGGCAGATGGCTTTTACTTATAATAAATGTAAGGTAATTCATATGAGTTATCATAATTTACATTATACGTATGATTTTTATGGGAATATAGTGTTATGGAAGAAAAGGATCTTGATGTTTTGGGTGACCAGTCTCTTAAGACGTCTAAACAATATGCTGTTATTACTGATTGGGCAAATAAGTCTAAGGCTATAATTTAATTGTATAGGTCATTAGCTAAGATACATTTAGAGTATTGTGTTCATTTTGGGGCTCCTTACTTGAGGAAGGACATTGACTTCTTGGGTTCGGAGGAGGGCTTCTACGATGATACCTGAGGTGGAAAGGCTGTCATACGAGGATAATTTAAGATCTCTAGAATTGTTTTCTCTTGAAAAAAAAAGAAAAAACAGCTAAATGGGATGTGATTGAGGTGTTTGAGATTGTCAAGAGGACTGATAGTGTGGATGCGTCATCTTTTAATGATGAGATTGATAAGACTAGGGGATACAGATATAAATTTTGGCAGGCTAGGAGTCACATTCATCTCAGACAGTTGCATTATTCTAACAGGATGGTTGGCCTTCAGAATATGTTGCCGATAGATGTGGCAGATGTAGGTAATTTAAGGGAGATTAAAGAAGCCTTGATAAATACTTAAATGATAACGGCTAGCTTTGTGCTGTTTTTTTAATTAAAAAATAAGTTTACTTTAATGGTTAGGACGGCCTAGATGTTATGTTATGATTTTGTATGCTTATTTCGAGCTTACTCCCTTCACCTGATAAATGTACAATCACGGAGTATTAGCATCTTCACATTTTAATTATGCTTATTATCGTGGAGTAACAGCAACATTAAGTCTTAACTATGCTAATGATTAAAGAGTAACAGCATGATAGCATCTTAACTATGTTCATTGCCGCATAGAATGTTGCAGCATGGTATTGTATTAACTATGTACATTATCACAGAGGTTTTATTCGTTTTTTGGCCTTAGTTTGTTTGTTTTTTTTAATTTCGCGCAAAGCTGCACGAGGGCTATCTGCGCTAGCCGACCCTAATTTAGCAGTGTAAGACTAGAAA